TTCCCCGATACGATAATGAATCTTGAGGAAACTTTTTTAGCAAAAGGTATTTTTACTATGTATTCACCCTGCATAGGTTCTGTTAGGGGACTCAGTGGTGACATGTTTCAAAGCAGAAATCTTTTCATGCTTAATTTTTTACTATTTAATGAGAGTTCAGGTATATTTTAACAACTGGGGTTTCCCTGATGAATCATTAAAGTAAGTGAGTGGGCTGGAAGGTAACACTAACTTTTCTCAGTACTGCCCTGTTTTATTCTGCTGGGTTATTAGTTGCTTTTTAAATAGAGCCTGGGTGTGTTGGAGTTGGTGGGTGGAGGTGCAGAAGGGAAGGGGTCAGTCAGAAAATACCAGGTAAACCTCTGATGACCTATTGGGAAATCCTACTCACATTTTACTTTCCCCAACTTAAAGCAGTTAGTGTTTAAGCCCACTGTTTTTTGCTCAGCCAAGCTTACTTTTCCAAATATTGCTTATAGGCAAATTGAAAATATATTTTCAGTAATTAATAGAAGTGTAAGGTATCAAGCCATGTGTGCATTACCTGTGGAATCAATTTCTCATGTGTGTGGGATTAAAACCGTTAAAACCATCATCACTGAAACTATACCTTCCTACAACTAATAGCAGTAGAGTGTCTGTGGAATATATTAATACAACCATTCCTCTGATTTCAAATGTTTACTTGGTATTTGGTTGGAAAATTATTTAAATATTATAGGTAACTGAGTTGACATCATATATGGGGGCTAATTGTAGATTTCTAATGAGATTTAGGATTAGTTTTCAAAAGTCCACATGATGTATTTATACTTAACACATCTCTTTCAAGAAATCGGTGACATATTGTGATTTTCCTTTATCTGAACTGTTAAAAAAAATACTCAGCTACCGCAGCAGTTGTAAGTGCTGAAGGAGGTAGACAAAAATGTAGTTCACCTTGAAAATGATCATGGCTCAGGGAATAAAGAAATTGGGTCAAGCTGAAAATAAATGCAGGTACAGTGACAAAAACTTTTAATAAAAATTTAAAAATATTCACAGTGTTGGTTTCAGGCTACTTTTGCTCTCGGTGATCTTATAAATGCATTATTAGTGTTTAACCGAGATGACTCTAATGGGACGTTTTCATTTTGGTCAAAATGTTTCTATGAAATATTCTTGTGATTTTCCACTTTCCATCCCCTTTTAATTATAATACAAACTTTTTGGAAAGGTAGATAATTAGATCATTTTGACCTCTGGTGTTCCTAAATAGAATTTGCAGTTTAACATTTCTGTGTCAGAGCTATCACTTTGACTCATTTTCTATTGCCAACTTAATGTTTAGTATTTAACCATTTATCATTAAATCATAGTATTGACAATGAGTTAAACTTCCATAAAACTTTAATGGTATAGTAGATTCTCGTTCATTGGTATCACTGGAGGAATAAAATATGCTGAAGGGAGTTTTTTTTAAAACTGAAGCTTGCGTGTTTAAGCAGAGAAACTTAAAAGTTGGTAAAATGTGTGTGAAACATTTTATATGCTCTTTTAGGAGCAAGAATTGGATTGGCCATTTACTCTATTTCTTAGTGCTATCAAATATCATCAGTGTGGTGTCCTGCAGAAAGGACTTGGGCTTTCTGATTGGTATTTGTCTTCCAACATGGGAGTTTTTTTTTTTTTCTTCTTCTTCCTATTTCTTCCTTTTAAAATGCCACACCCCTAATTCTGATAGACTTATGCAGTTTAAATGTTTATTAAAAGATTTAATATCTGTGACCATGCGTGTGTAAACAAACGCTTTAATAGATCCATTCACCCAAGCTCCTATGTAAGACTTTTGTCTGCATGTGGGCCCACCCACCATCTCCTGGCAAACACTAGGTCACTGCCACGAGGGGGGCCCTCCGCCTACACTGGGGTGAGTCCTTTCAGTGTTGAGACCCTGTCCCTGCTGCTCCCAAGGACTCACTCCCCAGTAGCCGTTGCTAGTGGTGCAAAAATGTCTGTATTCACCGACTCGCTCATGAGTATCTGTGGTGTCAGGATGACCAATTGCAGTTTTCTGGGAGTATTGCTAAAATGGGCAAATAACGTACTCTTTTATCTTTTAGCAAATTCTAGCCTAACAGCAAAAATCCTTTTTAACAAAGTGGTTTTTTTCTTAAACCTCAAGTTTATTTGTTTCAAGCAGTGTTTTTTAAAACAAAACTAAGCACCACTTAAGTATCTGACCTGTTCTTTAATGTGCTGTAATGATGTTTGGCTTGAATCTTATATTTAAAAATCACTTCCCCTCTTTTGCTTGTACCTAATGGATATCCTCTTCCTTGCAGGTTGTGCTTTAAGGAGACCATAGGGAAAAAAACATTTTCTTTTTGCCACAAAAGTTGCAATAGAAGCACCTGGGGCAACTGCCAGGATATGTCTGTCTCCACAAAACAAGCAGAACAAATTTCCATGAATCAAAGCCACTAAGTATAGTTTTCAGAGATGGTAGGACATAGTTACTCTCCCTAGAAAAATACCCCAAATGCAGGCACACCCGTTGGCCACTAGCAAAGTGCTCCAGTAAACGCTAGTTCAAACCTGTACACTTCACTCTTTGCACTGAGCTATTAAAGGGGTGGAAATCTTCTATAGCTATAATCTCTTTTTCCCCTTTTCTATTTTTCATCCTCCCACATGCTTGGCGTTTAGTTCTGCTTACTGATTGTCTTGAATCTACGGCAGCACCTACACATACTGCCTCCACAGTTTGCAGATAACTCATGATTCAGACCCGTAAGGAACATCTGTAACTATATGGCATAACACGTGCTCTAGATTAATCATGGAAAAGGGCAGAGTAATGAAGAATCAGAAAGCTTTCCCCCCCGCTAATATTGATGTTGCTTTCTTTGAGGTTATATGAGTGAAATATTCTTTAGAGTGGTTTATATCACATTCCATCACTTGAGGAAACATCTCAGGTCATTTTCTCAAGCGTCTTCCAGAGACCTTTTAAGAATATACACCTCAGCGTGATTAGGTCAGAGGAAATAAAGCAAGATAGTAGATATCTGTGATGTGATCTAGTAAGCAAATTAATGTTAAACTGCTTTTAGTCTGTATTTCTTGAATCCTTTGATAAAATTTTCAAAGTTGCCTTTTGTTGCTCTCTCTAGTTACTTTCTAGAAGCTTCCATCATTTGAAGGATTAGTGGCTACCATTTTGTTAAACTTGGAGTGTGATTAGAGTTGAAATGCCTCTCCAGCTGGCCTGAAAAAAAATCGAGCCTCTAAGCTTCCTTTTTAGCCACAAAACAGTTTTAGCTTTTAAAACTGTCTTTGAAATGCAGGTTGCCAATGAGGAATGGGTAACACCCACTGCATATCAGGTGCATGTGTGTATCTGTCTATCTTTCCCACCTGTCCTTGGTGGATGGTGGGCCATGATTGAAAATTACTGATTTTAACATGCTGGAGGACTTGAAGAGACTCTTTCTCTTTAAGGTGCTTTCTACTCATATAGAGGGGAAAAATACCTTATTACTGATTGTAAGCTACTGTGCTACAATTTTATCTTCACACCTCTGTGGTTAGTACCATTGGCCCCATTTTAGAGAAGGCGAGACTGAGTTCTACAAAGTCAGGTAGCGTGTCCAAGGTCATATAGCTAGGAAGTGATAGAGCTGAGCTTCTAATTTGTATCTCCTTGACTCCAGGGTGGATGCCTTTTCCACCTGAGGAACACTGTTTCTTATTTTGCAGATAATTGAAATATGTATATTTTCCCCCCAAAATGCTCATTGGGAGATTCAGAGATCAAGAAATAAGCTTTTCTTAACTTCCAGCATTTCTTTGACAACCATTTGAGACTTTTTGCTTTGAAATGCAGTTTAAGCAGGCATTGCTTCTACTGAGCAAGGTGAAGTACAGTCCCTAGTGAAGAGCATTGTTGAGTTGTTGAGACTAATAATTTCGTGGAACAACATTATTAGAAAAGGAATATGCTATTTTGTAAGTGGTGTTTTCTTCAGTTATAAAGGAAAAGTCAAACCTCTGCAATATTTTTTAAACAATGTAGTATTTGTATTTCTTTCTTATTTCTAACAGGAAATAGCATGCAATTTGAAATTATATAAAAGTTTTTATATTCATACATATATTTTATTTTGCTACAATAGTTTTTTATATTATCCAAGTAAAAAATTTCTTGATAGCCAGCTCTCTGTGATGAAAATTTTACCATGTTTTTAATGATAACATTACATTATCCCTCTGATGTGTTGTTTAAAGAAAGGTTGTAGAAAACTTGTTGGTTCATAGGCATGTAGCTTTACTGCATCTTTCTTTGGGAGTGGGATATATACAGTTGTGAGGAAGTGGTCAAGGGATGTCCAGTGTCTCAAGAAATTGTATCCTAAGATTATAACACTAGAGAATTGAGATTTGACTATGAGTGTGCTTTGTTATAAATATGAATTCATTGGAGACATCGATAGCTGGTGAATTTAAAAATGGATTACTGTGAGAATTACAGAATCAGAGAATTTCTGAATTGGAAAGGGTTTTACCAGTGAAGGCCTCTTGGAGAGGAAGACTGTCCAAGACTCAATACAACTCTAGGCCAAGCCAGTTTGGAGTTGACTGAGTCAGATCAAAACCATTTCAACTAGGAAGTGAGTGCTCATAGCAGAAGAGGGGCTTAAACTCCCTAGGGTAGGAGAAAAAGCTGAGTCATTGTGGAAGTCATCTTAGGGCATGAAAAGAATAGAATCAGAAAAATAAAACATCCTTTCTGTCATCTTACTCACATGAACGATGCAAAAATATTGATTACAAAAATACAAACCTTAAGTGTCATATGCTTTTTTAAAAAGTAGGGACACGCCTATTTTTAAAAAAATAATGTGTCTGTAAATTATTTGTATTTGCTTTCTGGGTGTAATATTTTAACTTATTTTTATTTAATAAAGCTTTATACGCATATACATATGTTTGAAAGAATATATTTTTTGCTTATCTAGAACCTTGAAGGGCCAATGAGTATTCTCGTCATTGAAGCATTCTATGGAGGCTCCCATAAGCAGCTGGCGGACCTGCTCCAAGAAGAGCTGGAAGACTGTGTCCTTTACGCTCTTCCTGCGAAGAAGTGGCATTGGCGGGCACGGACGGCGGCCTTGTACTTCTCTCAGAATGTTCCCGGCAGCGAGCGTTACAGGTAATGAGAGCGCGGCGGCACCCGCAGCTGTGTTTCCCGCCCCTGTGTAGGGCCTGCGCTCCTCCCCTGGAGCCCGGGAGATTTCCGCCGAGTGGGCGCCGCACGGACAGCTCGGGGCGCAGCTGGTCCCAGGGGGGTGCCCACATCCAGAACCTCCATGCCTCTCCTCCTTTGTCTTGTGATTTTATCACATGCACAAGTGTGGGGATGGGCGACACTTCTGGCCTGAGAGAAAGTTGATCTTGGGCACCTTGTTTTTTGTTACTGTTGTTTCTCCGTAACCTCCAATGCCGACTTTAGTGAGTACGCTGTGCAGTTCATTGTGTCTGCGCTATGCCACGAAGTGAGGTTTCAGAGATGGATATGACCAAAGCCTGTGCCCTTACAGGCTTTAAAGGCTGTTGAGATAGAGATAGACATGTGCATGCAATGAGAGTGTGGAAATGGAGAAGCTGGTTTTTACTGTGACAAACTGGAGGTGGCTTTATATAGCTGGCAACCTTTGCTTAATCTTGAAGGACTTGATGGATGAGTGGATTTTGGGGACACAGACCTCACTTACGAATTCTGATTTCTTATGAAGTGGGAACTAGGGACATCTATTAGAAAGTCTTATGGGACACATTGCAAAGATGGATGAGAAATACTGATTACAGTGTTAGGAGGAACAAGTAGAATGGAATCCCCTTGAATATTTCTGTCTCTTAATTCTCTATTTGTATGGACTGCCCAGTGTCTCCTGATGTTTAAATAGTGGAAGGGAAGATAATCCTGCTGTGGTTTACATATCTCATGTTCTTGTCATTCTGGGCAGGGCTGCAGGGGTTTAGGCAGGAGTGGGGAGTGCCAGGCTGGTAATTGATGGACCTAGAGTGGGGAGGCTGTTAGAGAAAGGGCACATTGCAAGCTGCGGTGCCCACCTGGGCTTCAGCGGCCATACCCATCTGCTGCTTCTAAGGCGGAGCAGTCACAAGGGAGACAGTAGCTTGAAGTTTAAATATAGGTTGCTGTTCTTAGTAGTAATTTGGGGAATTCAGAGAATAACCTTATTGGTGTATGAAAACCATGCGTCATCTCTGAGAATTCAGATTGTCAGGTGGAATAGTAGTGAGCACTCAAGTCACACTGGGATTTTAAAGGTAAAACACTGTTTTGGGGCATCTTGAAAATTTTATATTTTTCTCACTAAACTGCATTTTTTCTTATATAACTTAATGTTTTATATTCTGATATTACTAGGTGAATAGTGTTGATTCACTAATAGTGAGACATTTTAATGAATGTATCAATATAAAAGTTTTAAAGGCAATGATAAGACTGTGGCTGTGTTAAAATCTGTTTATAGTTGCTTTCACATCTCATTTAATTGTTTTACTGCACCAGCTGTATTATATTACATGAGGTCAAGTAATCTGGTTGGCTTTATGGCACATTTTCATTTAACATTACCATTTGATATAATAAATAAATTTCTACAGTGATTTGAATATTGAAATGAACCATTGCTATATCTGCTATTAGATTTTATTTTGATTTTGCAGTTTTTCAGAATGAGAGGTAATTGTATTACAAATCATATATATATAGATGGCATGCAAACAAACACTTCTCTGCCCATGGCTTCCCTCTCCCTTTTAGGCCTTGAGCATTTGAGGATGACCATCACACTGCTGTTTGAAGCAGTCTTATTTGGGAAGTAGATTTCTGAAAGATTCTGATGTAAAGTCTTACTTGCTGATAGCCAGAACCTCCAGGTCCTAACAGTGTTATCTGTGATCTTTCAAGCTCAGCCACTTAAGCCATTCAGTTAACTGTATTAATCTAATCAGACTTCACAAAAAATGTACCTCACAAGTTTAACTTAGCCTTATATTTGACCAATGATAACATGTACTCTTTACCAGTGAGCTCTTTTGGACAAATAGCAGCAGCTTGAAAACTTATGCTCAATTCTACATTGAAGTGCAAGAATAATATTTTATTACACCAGATAAATCTGATCTCTGTGGAGACTTTTAAAGATATGAAGAGTTTTTGCTTTCTGATTACTTACTCTTTTTACATTTGAGAAATGAAGTAATCAAAATTCATAAAGAAAAAATGAATTAGCAGTGATATTGCCTACTATGCAAAATTATGATGACCAAGTAGGAGTGTGTCTGATGAGAAAGGCCTTGGATACAGATGCTCTTGTTATTTTCTAAGGTCTGTCCATGTAGTCACGTTAAAAGCTTGTTATCTGGAAAATATCTTATTACTAAATGGATAAATGCTTCAGCTTAATTCATCAGTTTGGTTCTACTTTACCTTGACAGCTAAAAGGATATATCGTGATCCACATTTTGGGCTGTATAATGTTATTACAGATCTAAAAAGCTCCAGAAGTTATTTCTCTCAAAAATAATCGGTAATTATTATAATTTTTAGGTCATATTAAAACGTTGCCTTCTGGAAACTTCACAGAATGCAGAAAGATGTTTTTGAGGATGTGCCTAAATTTTGTGTTCTGAAATGTGTGAGTCATTTTTCCCAGGGTTAAGCCTTTCTACTTTATTAAAATATACCTAGACGAGGCCTCAAAGACATTTTATTCATTTTTATTTTTGTAGTATCTTTACTGAATTGAAAGAATCATTGCTGCTTAAAATTATTTCTTCACTCTCAGATGTCTACTGCTATGTTTTTCATTCCATCTGAGATAACTGTAGCAGACACTAATCATGGACCACTTAACAGTTCTTTCTTGTTAACAGAATCACGGTTTTCTTTGGGTGGCTAAGTACCCAGGCCCTGGGCGTGCAGCATGATTGACCTAAGTCCGTCTTGATGATCCTGTTCTCTGCCAAATTTCTGCAGCTCCCGTTGCAGCTAGGGCTAGTCAGTCACTGTGTTTTGGCAAATTACATTTAAGTATATGACTTATGGGGTGTTTTTCTAACAAAGCCTTTTCTCCTTTTCTGCATTTGAATGTGGTTGTGATGCCTGCAACCACCAGGTGACAAGATGAGGATGATGGCTGGTAGAGGCTGGGAAGAGCCTGGAGTAGATCGTGATGGATCCTTTTATTTGTCAAGGAAAAGTAGAATCAAACTGATGAATGAAGCTGAAGCACTTCGAGCAGCACAGCTCCCTAGTCACCTGAAAACCCTGCTTTCTGAAACATCCAGACGTGCTTTGTAAAGTGTAACAGGTTTTCTTTTAAGTCCATAGCTGAGCAAAGCCAGGGAGGATCTGAAGAGGGATCTGGAAATTAGAGTGGTAAACTCGCTTTGAAGCTGTGGTTGCCTAATTTTCATAAAAGGAGCTCGTTAACGCAGTTATGTTACATTCTTGGAATGAAATATTGGGCAGCTCTAACCTGGATTAGGAAGCTTTCAGCGTACCCTTATGGGAACTTCTCCAAGACATATTAAGTGACAAGAATAAAGTACCAAACAGGGCCATTAGGTGCTATCTTTGCTACAAAGCAAGAAGGTTATAAGAAAGGAACAATGGAAGAGTACCCTGGAAATGAATAAAAATAGTTGTCTGAGGATCAGTGTGGCAGAAACTGTCAACCCCCCCCCCC